TGACTTTTGCGTGAAAAGCAGGTGTGAAGAATAAGGTTACAAAGTTTTGACCGTGCCCTCAGGGTATCGTTAATTTTCCATGCAATAGTTTAACCTCGCAATACGCGACCTTTAATAAACTGAATTTTGCCTATTCATTTTTAACACGCAGAGCCGATTTTAAAATATATCAGGGTCGAGAGAAAGAACGGCTGCGACGCCATTTCTAATAGAAATATGTGTAATTAAGTTGTTTCTCGGACAGTCAGTGATGGTTACGCTTCCCCAATACAAAATGTTATTTTCATTTAATTGCATCCGTAGTTCTAATAAGTAAAGTTGTTCTCAGAAAGTGCACCCCTTCCCTACAAGAACAAACTTCTGTAAATGCAAAAAGGCACTCGATCACCGAAACAGTTATTGTATTTGTTTAGATTTTCCGTCCACACAGGAGCCCACCTTATAGAGACTATGAAAGAACAATAATACATGAAAACTTTTGTAACTGGACAACGCCAGTGGGAGGAGGAGGAGGATGAGGATGAGGAGGAGGAGGAGGAGGAGGAGGAGGAGGAGGAGGCACCTATTCCTCCTCTTTGGAAAAAGAAGGTGGGACTCGTAATCGCCTAACACGTATTTTTCACTATTCTCTACGATGGAAAGAATAAATTCGGATAATCACTGCATCGCAGTTGACTTTGATAATGGTTTATTTTCATGATAAAATAAGAATTTTTGTGTGAAGCATATTATTTTGTACGCCTCTAGGCTGATCTTATTCGCAAGGTACCACCCATATTAAAGGGACACATACAGAACTTGCGTTTTGGACAAATTACCACGACAGGAATATGGTCCTATGAAATTTTCCACATCAGAAGAAATATCAAGATCGGATACATGATAAATATGCGGCGGAAGGACTTCAAAGCAAATAAACAAGCGACTGGTATATAATGTTGGACATAGAAAGCGCATTACAGGCATTATAAGCCGCAAAACAACTATGAACCATCTTCTACCACTAGAGTTATTATGTAAATGGTTAACTGGTCTCCCCTCTCCTCTTTCTGACCAAGTACACTCGTCTTTTAAGACCCACGAAGAACACACACAATTGTAACAAAGCCTACTTTAGTAAAAGACAGATCCCCCAGTTAACGTCAAAAGCTCTCTGAAATCGACTCATTGGGTGTTGTCTTTTCCGCTCTGGCGGGGTTGGAAAATGACATTTGCATGCCTGGTCTACCGGGATTACTGAACAAGGTGAATTGGGATATTTTAGATTCAATTATCTGAAATTTTCGATCATAAATTCTATGACCCGTAATTTATCGTCTTTTGTACTGAACATGACTTACTTCCGTGTGTTCTTTATTTCGTTTTACGTCTACCGTTCACCTTAGATTCTCTCTTTCCAAACATGTAGCGTTCGTGCAAAAATATGCAAAGCACGCGAATGGTAACAAGCGGAGATCAGTCTAGTGCTCTAAGACGAGGCACAACAGTCAGTATCAGGCAAAATTTAACTGGATTCAGAAATGTCGGACACGTGCGAAATTTATTCGCTTTCTGTACTCCGGTGTGCGCGTTGTCTGCCTTGTTTGAGAAACCGTAAATCTGAAGTATGCAACCGTGAATCCGTCCGTGTTATTGTGGACAAACGGATTACCTTTCTCTTCTGAAGGAATATCATCCTTTTTATCTTCCACCATGTATAAGCGTAGTAATTCAACGGACGTCTATCCGGCTAGAAGTGTATATGGTGACAACAATATATTATTTAACGGAAAATTTAAAAAAATAAGTCACGGAACAATTTGTCGGAGGGGAACGTCGACGGGTTAAAAATGGGGTTTCACAAAGACTCCGGGATCTAACAGGATGGAAGCATTGTCCTTCACTACCAAACATCAAGACGATAAGAAACGACGCCTAGTTTCTCTTCTCGAGTTTTTTTCTAAGGACCCTCCTGTCTTTCTATTTAAAAAAGACGGTGATCGAAAGCGCGATCCCACTGACAAACTCAAAGGCCCAGGCTCGTCCTATGCGGGAGCCGTGATAATAGGGATTTTACGGGTGGGGCTTTGAGAAAGCACATGTAGACGTCCGAAGTCGAGGAGAAAAACAGGCAAATTACACTAAATAAGCAAGTCTGTTTAATTGATTATGCGAGTCATATGAGAAGCAGCGCGGACTGCAAAGTAGCAGATGCGCTATCAGGTAGAGGTGAAGAAAAGGGAAACCGGACTTTGATGTGCGATCAAGGTGGCCCAAACTGAACCGTCCATGGACAAGTCAATGGGAGGAAGGTGATAGAGTCAGTCTTCACGCAGCAGGAGGAAAATTACAGCCGTCACTTAAGGAGCAACCGTAAGTGAGCGTAGTGAATGTGAATGCCGAGAGGACGACCGTCAAGTTTTGAGTATGTATGATAAACTAGTAGGGGAAGTCTTTCGCTGTGTGATACAGGTGTTTGCGATCTGTAGGAAGAATTTTGACAAAGCTCATCAGACCGCTCATATGTAATACTAACCTAAGAAAAAGTTAGGAAGTGCTATTTTCCAAATAGAACCTATAATTGTTCATTCTATTTCCGCAGGGTGCCAGAAAATGCAATGCAAAGGAGAAGAGGATTTCAGAAAGAAAAATGGATGCGAGAATACGAAACGAGGCGAACCATCGACTCGCTTGACCTTGTGCAGTACCTATAGAGAAAGAGTTTGCTATCTTGGAAACTACCCAGTCGATGCCACGCACAATAAAACAGCAGAAACTTAAGCGGCTCTCTGACGGCTCACTTTAAGGCGTAGCCATTGCAGACGCAATGAAGAACTGAGAACGGGGTCTATCGTTGAGCGAAGTAAATTAACACTGATGAAGACAGGGAAGATATGCTGTCAGTTCCCAGAGAGTGTCCAAGTTAAGTTGTGTGCGAACTCCATTGGTGTGCACTGTAGCACAGACACTAAATAGTATAGCATTTGCCGGAATGTGTGTTCCAAGGCGCTGCTGAGTGAAGTTAGCGAAATCGGAGGCTCAGGAACTTAAGTTTAAGTCGAAAATTTCTGACAAACAAGCGGAAGTACAACAAAGACAGCCAAGGGAGGCAGTACCGAATTGCGGGAATGTACGACACAAGAAAATGGAAAGTCCTGTTTTCAGGTGGGTAAGTGATCGAAGCTGGCCGCCCCTGAAGGTCGTCATTACAAAGCGGGCGACATAGCGTAGCGCCACAGCAACGGACAAATAAATTGCATACGCCCACCTGCCGCCGGTGGATCACCGACTGTTTACGGTGAAGCATAGCGTTAGTTTCGTAAACCTTACCATCGGAAAGCACACAAATGCTATAAAGGCCCACTGGAGCCGGCTAAAATGGAAGTTGAAAGAAACAAACTTGATGTCTGACAGACCTGTGTGGCGTACGCAGATGAAGTGCAGTACCGGCTCTGATACAGAATGAGGGTCGACAGCAATCCGAAGGCATTGGAGGCTACCTTGGACCATACAGCGAATGTCTACCCGGTAAATCGAATCAAAAAGTGGCGATACTTAACAATCGATGGAAATTACCAGACGTTTAGAGAGTCCAATGTGCTCGCGAAGTGAACTCTCAATAGTAACTGTCAGCCTGCACAATGCACGCAAGTTGCATAAAGTGGCTTTTTGTACAAATTTAACGGTACTTTAGTCTTGTGAAATATTGTAACAAAATGTTTTTTACTCAGTTGGGGTTTTTTTATTTTGCACACTTACAGATAGCAGGCAAAACAAGGCCTTGATTGAAATGTTTAGCACGGAGGAAAAGGAAAGGTGCGCACGCAATTTTTGCAGTCGGTGTTTTGGAAAAGAAAAAAAAAGTGGGGTGTAGGGGTGTCAGCGGTGGGTCCACGTGATGGTCGTAGTGGTCGCTCACTTGCTTGCAGGTGAGACTACGCCTAGCGTCCATTTGCTGGCACCTAACTCTCGCCTGTGGCTCCACGTAGCTGGGCTCTGCTCAGCGGCCACACCCCGGGCAACCGTCTCGACCGGCGGGGTAAACCAGGTGAGGGTATCCGTGCGTGCACCTGCACGCGCGGTACTGTGGTCTGCGCTGGCCGGATGGATCTTCGCGTCGACACGGTCGAGACGAGGCTCTGCCTGGACCATCGCAGGAGGCCACCAGGTAAGTTCCCCCTCAGGTAAGTGCGCTTGCTTTGTTTCTTCCTTTTGTTTGTTGAAGTTCCTCGTCGTACGCTGCGCTTGCTGCCTGCCCTTTATATGCTAGTCTGTCTGTTAATAGCTAAACGACACCCTCGATGCCTGCTGCGATTGTCTGTCCGTCAGTCTATGCCACTCTCTACTAATAGCTAGGTGTTACGGTGCTTGACTTTGTGTGGTGCCCTCACTTTGTCTCTGACTGATGACTGTGTCTGTTTGTCCACTCTAGCTAGCTGTAAGTGCCATAGCGTTAGGTAGTGTGCATGCTCTCTCCTACTTCACTCCATCACATCATCACCTCACCACCAAGGTCCCAGGCTAATTCGGGTCGTTCTCTCACTAACAAATAGTCGTGGCCCATAGTGGAGTCCGGCAGCCGTCTGGGATAACCGGGCAGCCCTGTTCAGGGATGCGTTGCCTGCCCCCGCGAGGGGGAGGGGGCTAGAAAAGGTGCCCTAAAGATCGCTGGGAACCACGCTGTCTGTAGGCTGGCCGTGGCCGCAGACAAAAAACACACGGTCGAAACAGCCAAAACCGAAACAACAACAACAACAATCACTCTCTTACTCTTCCAGCCTATTCTTCTTCTTCTCCTACTCTTACTTTTCGTCGCCGCAGTCGCCAGACTGGCAGGGTGAGCCCGCTTACTCTGGCAGCCTGGAATGTTCGTTCCCTTTTAGACAATCCGAGGAGCAACCGACCGGAACGGAGGACGGCGCTAGTGGCACGAGAACTGGCGCGCTACAAGGTGGACATCGCCGCACTCAGCGAGACCCGATTCTCCGAACAAGGCCAAATTGAGGAGGTGGGTGCCGGCTACACCTTTTTCTGGAGTGGTCGACCCAGGGCAGAGCGACGTGACGCGGGTGTCGCCTTTGCCATCCGGACCGACATCGTGGGACGACTGCCCTGTTTGCCGCAGGGAATCAACGACCGCCTGATGAGTCTACGTCTGCCTCTGCGGGGTGGGGGCAAGTTCGCAACCATCATCAGCGCCTACACTCCGCCGATGACCAGTTCCGACGCCGTCAGAGACAAATTCTACGAGGACCTGCACGCCCTCTTGGCGACTGTGTCGAAGGCGGACAAGTTGATTGTCCTTGGTGACTTCAACGCCCGCGTCGGCACAGACCATACTGCCTGGAGGGGAGTGCTGGGTTTCCACGGTCTCCGCGGCTCCAACGACAACGGCCTGCTTCTCCTCCGCACCTGCGCAGAACACCGCCTCACCCTGACGAATACCTTCTTCTGTCTGCCGGTGCGAGAGAAGGCCACCTGGAGGCATCCTCGGTCGCGTCAGTGGCACCTGCTGGACTATGTCCTCGTCCGGAGGCGAGATCAGCGGGACGTGCTGGTGACGAAGGCGATCGCGGGTGCTGACGGGTGGACCGACCATCGCCTCGTCATCTCGAGGATGCGCATTCGCCTACAGCCTCGCAGGAGACCACAAGGTAAGCGACCCCCAGGTAAGCTGAATGTTGCTTTGTTGTCTTTGCCTGCTCAACGTCTCCATTTCAGCAATGAGCTAGCTCAACGGCTAGACAACCTTCCTATCGCTGCCACCGCCGACGACGCCGCCGCCGCTGCCGAGAACACCTCCGTGGAGAACCTCTGGTGTCAACTGCGAGACACGGTCCAGTCGACGGCGCTCGCCGTCCTCGGTCGCGCTCCCCGCCAACACCAGGACTGGTTCGACGACAACGACGCAGCCATCAGAAATCTGCTTGCCGAGAAGAACCGCCTACACAAAGCCTACGTAGATCACCCCACTGAGGACAACAAAGCTGCCCTCTACCGCAGTCGCCGACAGCTTCAGCAACGACTGCGCGAGATGCAGGACGCCTGGACTGCTCGCAAAGCTGAGGAGATCCAAGGCTACGCGGACCGCAACGAATGGAAGAACTTCTTCTCCGCGATCAAAGCTGTCTACGGTCCGCTGACGAAGGGCACTGCTCCTCTCCTCAGCGCCGACGGCAGTACTCTCCTGACTGAGAAGACGCAAATCCTACAGCGATGGGCCGAGCACTTCCGTCATCTCCAACGCCGCCATCGCCCGCTTGCCGCAAGTGGCGACCAACGTGGACCTCGACCTCCCGCCATCTCTCCAGGAAACGATCACGGCCGTGCAGCAGCTCTCCAGCGGGAAAACACCCGGATCGGACGCAATCCCTGCTGAGGTCTACAAGCACGGAGGTCCCCTAATGATGGATCACCTGACTGCGCTCTTCCAGGAGATGTGGCGTCAAGGTGAAGTCCCGCAAGATTTCAAGGACGCAAATATCGTGCACCTTTACAAGCGAAAAGGGAATCGCCAAGTCTGCGACAATCACCGCGGCATCTCCCTAATGAACATCGGCGGGAAGATCTTCGCTCGAATCCTGCTCAACCGCCTCAACAACCATCTGGAACAGGGCCTTCTGCCGGAAAGCCAGTGCGGCTTCCGTCGTCATCGTGGGACCACAATTATGATCTTCGCCGCCCGTCAACTTCAGGAGAAGTGCCAGGAGATGCGGACCCATCTGTACTCTACCTTCGTGGACCTGACGACAGCCTTCGACACGGTGAATCGTGAAGGACTGTGGAAGATCATGCAGAAATTCGGCTGTCCGGAGCGATTCCCTCAGATGGTACGTCAGCTGCACGACGGTATGATGGCGCGAGTCACGGACAACGGAGCTGTCTCAGAGGCATTCGCAGTGACCAACGGAGTGAAGCAGGGCTGTGTGCTGGCGCCTACCCTCTTCAGTCTCATGTTCTCTGCCATGCTGATGGACGCCTACCGCGACGAACGCCCTGGAATCCCCATCGCCTATAGAACGGACGGTCATCTCCTGAATCAACGGCGCATGAACTTCCAATCGCGTGTATCCACAACCACCGTGCACGAACTCCTCTTCGCCGACGACTGCGCCCTGAACACCACCTCAGAAAAGGAGATGCAACGGAGCATGGACCTATTCTCCGCCGCCTGCGAGAACTTTGGGCTGGTCATTAACACGCAGAAGACGGTGGTGATGCACCAACCGCCGCCCAACTCAGCCACAGCCCCCAACGCGCCGCCGCAAATCAGCGTGAACGGAACCCAACTGCAAGTGGTGGAGAACTTCCCGTATCTGGGCAGTACCCTCTCCCGCAACACCAAGATTGATGACGAAGTCGCCAACAGGATATCGAAAGCCAGTCAAGCCTTCGGTCGTCTCCGAAACACAGTTTGGAATCGTCATGGTCTCCAACTGAGCACGAAGCTGAAGATGTACAAGGCCGTCATCCTGCCGACGTTACTGTACGGAGCAGAGTCATGGACGGTGTACACGAGACAGGCACGTCGACTGAACCACTTACACCTCAGTTGTCTCCGTCGCATCCTGAGGCTGAACTGGCAGGATCGAATCCCCGACACGGAAGTACTGGAACGAACGGGAATCCTCAGCATCTACGCCATACTCAAACAAATGCAGCTGCGCTGGAGCGGCCATCTGGTGCGCATGGACGACGAGCGACTACCCAAACGACTCTTCTACGGAGACGTCGCGACGGGTTCTCGTCGGCAAGGAGGCCAAATTCGCCGTTACAAGGATACTCTGAAGTCTTCCCTGAAGCGCCTGCAAATCAACCCGACCAACTGGGAAGAGCTCGCTCGCGATCGTCCGACATGGAGGAGAACAGTGAAGACGGGCGCTGCTATCTATGAAGCCAACCGAAACGCCGCCGCCAAAGCGAAACGCGAAGTCCGCAAATCACAACTTCGCCCAATCCGCAACGCCGCCGCACAACCGCTCCCTACGTGTCCTCGATGTCAACGGACATTCCGGGCACGAATCGGACTTGTTGGACATCTTCGGATCAACTGCACCTCTCGAACTGCTCCAGCCATCGTCCCCCCGCCCGCCTCTTCCTCCTCCCTTCCGCCAACTAACTTTGACACTCCTTCTGCACCACCAATTCCATCCTCCTCGTCCTCGTCGTCCCCCTCCCTCTCCACTGCCCCAGCGGCGGCCGTTCAGAATGCTGTCTCACACATCACCAACACCAACACACCAACCAACATCACATCTCCCACCTCTCCCGGTACCACTGATGAGGATCAGGACTACACCTGCCCTCACTGTGACCGCACCTTCACCTCACACATCGGCCTGGTCGGTCACTTGCGAATCCATCGCACAGAGACTGGCGAACCAGTGCCTGGAGCACCAACCTTCACCCACCGCACTCGCCCCCACTGCCCACAATGCCCTCGCACCTTCACTCATCGCATGGGTCTATTCGGCCACATGCGCATCCACGAGAGCGGAATTGACCGCAGCCTTGACACATCCACCCCGCCGAGCCCCACTCCCAATCCACCACCTTGTGCACCC